CCCGCTCTCTTTTTTCGAGAGCCCTTTCCCCCTGGCCTTTCAAAGCCAGAGTAATTTTTTTCCCGGAGCTCTGCCGCTCCGCCCCCTTCTCTGAGGGTACCGCAGCTTCTCGCTGCTTTTCCAGTCTTTTAGACTGCACTGAAATACCTTGTAACATGATTCTTGCCGGCGAGAGTAGCTTTAACGCTGTCTCATCTTTTTTTGTTGCTAAAATATATAAATGCCTATTAATTTCTTGCCAAAACCCCACTTCGAACAGCAGATATGTCTCTGCAAGTGGATAATTGAGCCTTGCCCATAATAACAGCTGTTTTAATTCTTTCTTTGGGATCCCTTCTGTATATAATTCTGCTACACTTTGTAAGGTGGAAAAGATTTCCCGTTGTTCTTGGGAGAGTGATGCCCCCATGATTTTATTTTGGCCTTCTTACCGAATCTGTCGTCAGAGTGGTCTGGAGGCCCTTGTTCTCCGTCCAGCAGATTACGAGGGATGGATCAGAGGCGCCTTTCTGGTCCCAGTCCAGGCCGCTCTGCTACGAGCTGTCTTCAGCAGAAGCTGAGAGATGGGATTTCTCAGTGACTGCTGATTTTTGCAGCTTCTCCCGGCCGGTTTTTTCTTTTTCTTCTTTCTTTCTTCAGGCTTCCCTCCTCTGGAGTTATCAGTGCTGTTCTCTTGGCTCTTCAGCTCTTCAGGGCTTTCCCCCCCCCGAAAGGTTTGGTGGGAGATAGCCCGCACAGCGGACGCCAGTTGTTGGATTTCTGGGCTGTTTAGATGGTCTGGGGAAAAAGCCCAAAGATGGCCTTGGGCCCCCGGGTTCGAAAGGACGAGAGGAAGCTTCAGATTTGTTCTCGGTCTCGGTGTTTATTAATTGCTTATCTAAAAGATTTTCTCTTGGCCTGACAGAGTTCTGCTCAGCAGTCAGCCATGGGCACACACTGAAAGCCCCTGGGGCGGTCACCTATCTTTATACCCAGAGTTACGTATACAATATTTATCATTTTTCTCCAATACCCTCTATCCTTATTAACCAGTGTTCCCCTAGTAAGGTCCAATCCCGGAGTGCCAACTCCACCACAGAAGATGGAGGCCTAGAGGAAGAAGAAGAAGGAGAAGGGCACGCCCCAGTACCTCCATCTTGCCTCTCTAGACCCCCCTGTACAGGGATCTTAAACCCTGTATCTCACACTCCAATTAACTTGTCCCTTCACCATTCACCCCAGTGAAATCCTCCCGTCCTCATACTGATGTCATCTCCCATGTGGGATCAAAGTCCAGCCACCAGACATTTCTGGCAGCATTCCAGGACTCCCGAGCCCCCCAGGGGGGGTCTTGTTCACCCTGCACCCCAGTTCTGAGAGACTGAGATCCCACACATCACAGGTCAAAGGGCAAGTTCTGCTCACACTGCCTGCAGGAAATCCCTAGCTCCTGGCCACACTCCAGCACTCAGCATCCTCAGCCAGCAACAGATAGCACTGGCTGCTCCAAAACTTGCACCTCTGCCCTGCTCTAAAGACAGCACCACCCAACAGCTGGAACTTACAGCCTCAGGATATCCAGGGTGTAGTGTGGCCAAAGATGGAGTCTGGCGTTCATCCATCTCAATTTGCTCCTCTTGGGCTTCTTCTCCAGGAGCAGAGGGAGCCAGGGGAGAGATGGCCGTTGGTTTTGTCAGCTGTGGCAAGAGAGAAGCATGAGGCACAGGCCATGACCTATCATTCAGGACATCATTTCTTTTCAGATCTACCACCACATCTTCTAAATAGAAATCAGAACACTTCATAGTGTGATAGGGATTCTTACACCCACTGACCAAATTTAAATGGGCCCCTGCAACAGAACTCTAGATGGATATAGGGTTGATATTCCTCCATGGTGGCTATCAGCAAGCAATGTTGCCTCTGTAAAACAGAATTTTAAGTTCTTGAAAGCTCTGACTTGGAAAAGTTGGAAGGAGACCCCAACTTTTTGCTAAGGGAGCAGAAGACATGGATAACTCTAACTGGATGACAATCTCATCCTAGGCTGAAAAAGGGTAGGAAACGTGGTGGAAAAGCATCTTAGATTGCTGGAACAGGAGAAAATTATCAGGGCAAACCTCTCCTAGCAAACCAACAAGCCAAGGAGCCAACAAGGCACAAGATGGAAGTGTCACCCATTCCAGTGTTTAAAGCACTTGAATTCAGTGTGGGGATGTTTGGCAGGGAAATGGTCCGTGTGGTGAGCACTGTTGGGTAGGGATTGATGAAAGTCTGCCTGAAAGTTGTCCTGAATCTCCCATTGTCCAGGTTAAAGATCCCTCAGCACCATCTCCCTGGGCTTGTGCTCCCTCAGCCTTGCCCAGCTCCTCCGTCCTCCTCTGAAAACGCTGCGGCCCCTCCATGACTTTCTGTTTCCCAGGGACCCACAAGTGCACACAGCACTCCAGCTGGGGCTGCAGCGCTGCCCAGCACAGGGCCACGCTCACTGCCCTGCTCCTGCTGCCCCACTGCTGCTGACACAGCCAACCATGCCCTTGGCCTTCTTGGACACCTTGTCCAGGGCTGGCTCTTCTTCAGCTGATCTTCTATGGCGCTCATGGGGCATTTGACTTGTGCAGCTCTCCAGTCACAGAGTTGGCCATTTGCTTTCAAATACAGCATTTAGCCTTTCTAGATGGCCTTCTTGTTTTCAGCAACACATGGCAGCGGTAAAGGTCTTGCTGCTTCACACTTACTCCAAGCCCCAAGTCACTTCAAAAGCTGCAGTCTTCATCACTAAATGCATCAACAGAAACTTGCCCCTTCTTCTTTCTTGCCTCATTTGGAGGCTTCAAACCTACTCAGTTTCTTTGTTTGGCTAGACAGGACAAGATCCATGGACAACAGAACCATCTCCTCGCACCATATCAAAAGCCAAAACCAGTTGGCCGAAAGAACTTTGTAGATGTGAAGAATAACTCAAGAAAACTCCAGACCAGTTGCACATGCCATTGGCCATAGCGAAGGACAAGCCAAGAGAAAGAGTTTCCCCGAGCCAAGCAGCCACATGCTCTCCCAGAGGCATCAGCCCTTTGGGGCCTTAATATCACAGGTCAAAGGGCAAGTTCTGCTCACACTGCCTGCAGGAAATCCCTAGCTCCTGGCAACACTCCAGCACTCAGCATCCTCAGCCAGCAACAGATAGCACTGGCTGCTCCAAAACTTGCACCTCTGCCTTGCTCTAAAGACAGCACCACCCACAACTGGCACTTACGGGCTCGGAATATCCAGGCTCTGGTGTGGCCTGTGATGGAGTCTGGCATTCATCCACCTCAATTGGCTCCTCTTGGGCTTCTTCTTCTACAGGAGCAGCAGGAGCCAGGGGAGAGATGGCTGTTGGTTCTGTCACCTGTTGCAAGAGAGAAGCATGAGGCACAGGCCATGACCTATCATTCAGGACCTCATTTCTTTTCAGATCTACCACCACATCTTCTAAGGAGAAATCAGAACACTTCATAGTGATATAGGGATTCTTACACCCATTGAGCCAGTTAAAATGGGTCATTTCAACAGAACTCTAAATGGATATGAGGTTGATATTCCTCCCTGACTGCTATCAGCAAGCAACGTTGCATCTGTAAAACAGAGGTTTTAGTTCTTAATAGCTCTGGACAGGAAAAGTAGGAAGGAGACACCAACTCCTTTTCTGCTGCTGATGCAGATAAGGAAAACTCTAACTCGAGAGCATTCGCATCCAGGGCTCAACAGGGAGGGAAATGTTGTGCGGAAGCATCTTGGCTTGCTGGAAAAGGAGAAAATGAACAGGGCATACCTCTTCTAGAAAACCAACAAGCCAACGCAGCACAAGATGGAGGAGCCACCCACTCCAGTGTGTAAATCCCGTGGCTGCTGTGAGAGCACGTTTAATAGGGAAACACCCCTTGTGCTGTGCACTGTGTTGTAGCGATTGATGTAAGTCTGCCTGAAGGTCCCTCAGGACCCTCTCATTATCCAGACTAAAGCTCCCTCAGCACCTCCTCCCTGGGCTTGTGCTCCATTCCCTTGCCCAGCTCCTGTGTCCTTCTGTGAAAACACTGCAGCCCGTACCTGACTTTCTGCTTCCCAGGGACCAACAAGTGCACACAGCACTCCAGCTGTGGTTGCAGTGGTGCCCAGCACAGTGCCATGCTCACTACCCTACTCCTGTTGCCCCACTGCTGTTGACACCGGCCACCATGCCCTTGGCCTTCACTGACACCAGGTACAGGGCTGGCTCTTGTTCAACTGATCTTCTATGGCGCTCATAGGGCCTTTTGACTCTTCCAGCTCCCCAGCCACAGAGTTGCCCATTTGCCTTCAAATACAGCATTTAGCATTTCAAGATGGCTCTTCTTGTTTTCAGCACCACATGACAGCAGTCAATGACTTGCAGCTTCCCCCCCAATCCAGGCTCCAAGGCACTTCTCAAAGGTACAGACTTCATCACTAAATGCAACAACAGAAACTTGCCCCTTCTGCTTTCTTGCCTCACAAGGAGGCTTCATAACTACTCACTTTCTTTCTGTGATCACACAGGATAGGAATGGCCCCCCCACAGCTTCACAGACAACACAACCATCTCCTTGCAGCTTGTCAAAAGCAACAAGTCACCTGGTCCAAAAGACTTTGTAGAACTGAAGAAGAACTCAAGAAAACTCCAGACCAGACTCACAAGCTAAACACAGCATTCCAAAACCGGAAAACAAACAAACAAAGACCAGTGACCTACAGCATTACAACTTGTGCCCACAGCCACTGCACTGCAGAAGCCATGTAATAGAGCTTCCCTGAGCCAAGGAGCCAGATGCTGTCCCAGGGGCACCAGCCCTTTGGGGCCTCAACATCACAGGTCAAAGGCCAAGTTCTGCTGTCACTCCCTGCAGGAAATCCCTAGCTGCTGGCAGCACTCCAGCACTTAGCATCCTCAGCCAGCCACAGGAAGCGCTGGCTGCTCTGAAACTTGCACCTCTGCCTTGCTCTCAAGACTAGCTGTCACTTACAGGCTCAGGATATCCAGGCTGTGCTGTGGGCAAAGATGGAGTCTGGCGTGCATTCATCTCAATTTGCTCCTCTTGGGCTTCTTCTCCAGGAGCAGAGGGAGCCATGGGACAGATGGCTGTTGGTTCTGTCAGCTGTGGCAAGAGAGAAGCATGAGGCCCAGGCTGCCACCTATCACTTAGAACTTCATTTCTATTCCAATGTCCCACCACAAATTCTAAGGAGAATTCAGAAATATTCTTAGCGACATAGGGATTCTAAGTCCCACCAACTACTTTATATTGGGCCAATTCAAAAGAACCCTAGATGGTGATAGGGTTGATGTTCCTCTCTAGCTGCTATCAACAAGAAATGCTGTCTCTGTACAATGCAGCTTTTAGTTTTTGAAAGCTGTGAATTGGAAAAGTAGGAAAGTGTCACAACGCCTTTGCTACTGCTGCTGCAGACATGGAAAAATTCAAACTGAATCACAATCTCATCCAGGGCTGGTAAAGGGTAGGAAACAATGTGCAGAAGCATCTTAGCTTGCTGGAAAAGGAGAAAACGAACAGAGCAAACCTCTCCTAGCAAACTAACAAGCCAACAAGCCCACAAGCCAACAAGGCACAAGACTGAAGTGTCATCCATTCCAGCATGTAAACGACATAGACACAGGGAGGGGATATTTGGTAGGGAAACGGCCCTTGTGGTGAGCAATGTTATGTAAGGATTGATGGACGTCTGTGTGAAGATTCCTCATCTGCCTCCCATTGTCCAGATTAAAGCTCCTCAGCACCTCCTCACTGCACTTGTGCTCCACACACTTGCCCAGCTCCCCCGTCCTGCACACACTGCAGCCCCTCCGTGACTTTCTGCTTCACAGGCCCCACAACTGCACACAGCACTCAGGCTGTGGCCGCAGCGCTTCCCAGCACAGGGCCACGCTCACTGCCGTGCTTCTCCTGCCCCACTGCTGCTGGCACAGCCACCATACCCTGGCCTTCTTGGACACCTGGTCCACGGCTGGCTCTTGTTCGACTGATCAGCTATGGCGCTTATGGGGCCTTTTGACTTGTGCAGCTCCCCAGTCACAGAGTTGCCCATTTGCCTTCAAATACAGCATTTAGCATTTCAAGATGGCTCTTCTTGTTTTCAGCACCACATGACAGCAGTCAATGACTTGCAGCTTCCCCCCCAATCCAGGCTCCAAGGCACTTCTCAAAGGTACAGACTTCATCACTAAATGCAACAACAGAAACTTGCCCCTTCTGCTTTCTTGCCTCACAAGGAGGCTTCATAACTACTCACTTTCTTTCTTTGGTCACACAGGATAGGAATGGCCCCCCCACAGCTTCACGGACAACACAACCATCTCCTTGCAGCTTGTCAAAAGGAACAAGTCTCCTTGTCCAAAAGACTTTGTAGAACTGAAGAAGAACTCAAGAAAACTCCAGACCAGACTCACAAGCTAAACACACCTTTCCAAAAATGGAAAACAAACAAACAAAGACCAGTGACCTACAGCATTACAACTTGTGCCCGCAGCCACTGCACTGCTGAAGCCATGAAATAGAGCTTCCCTGAGCCAAGGAGCCAGATGCTCTCCCAGGGGCACCAGCCCTTTGGGGCCTCAACATCACAGGTCAAAGGCCAAGTTCTGCTGTCACCGCCTGCAGGAAATCCCTAGCTGCTGGCAGCACTCCAGCACTCAGCATCCTCAGCCAGCAACAGGAAGCGCTGGCTGCTCCAAAACTTGCACCTCTGCCTTGCACCAAAGACTGCACAACTCACGACTGACACTCACAGGCTCAGGATATCCAGGCTCTGGTGTGGGCAATGATGGAGTCTGGCGCTCCTCCACCTGCATTTTCTCCTCTTGGGCCTCTTCTCTTGGAGCAGCAGGAGCCAGGGGAGAGACGGCTGTTGGTTCTGTCACCTGTGGCAAGAGAGAAGCATGAAGGACAGGCTGTCACCTGTCATTTAGAAACTCGTTTCTTTTCAGATGTCCTACCTAAATTCTAAGGAGGAATCAGAACATTTCATAGTGACATAGGGATTCTGAATCCCACCAAACAATTTAAAATGGTCCAATTCAACAGATCTCTAGATGCATTTGAGGTTGATATTCCTCCCTGGCTGCTATCTGCTAGCAACCATGTTTCTGTAAAATGCAGCTTTCAGCTCAGGAATGAAATGCAGGAAAGCCACAGTAATGACCTTGCGACTGCAGCTGCAGACGTGGAAACTTCAAACTGGATCAAAATAACCTCCAGTGCTACAAAAGGGGAAGGATACGCTGTGCATAAGCATCTTTGCTTGCCGGAAAAAGAGAAAATGATCAGGGCAAACCTCTCCTAGCAAACCAACAAGCCAACAAGCTTACAAGGCACAAGATGGAAGTGTCACCCACGCCAGTGTCTAAAGCACTTGGATGCAGTGGGAGGATGTTTAGTAGAGAAATGGCCTGTGTGGTGAGCTCTTTTGTGTAGGGATGGATGGAAGCCTGCCTGAAGATCACTCATGAGCCTCCTGTTGTCTGAGAAAAAGCTCCCTCAGCACCTCCTCACTGGGCCTGTGCTCCATTCCCTTGCCCAGCTCCCCTGTCCTTCTCTGAAAGGGCTGCAGCCCTCCATGACTTTCTGCTTCCGAGGGACCCACAAGTGCACACAGCACTCCAGCTGTGGCCGAAACACTGCCCAGCAGAGGGCCATGCTCACTGCCCTGCTCCTGCTGCCCCACTCCTGCGGACACAGGCCACCATGCCCTTGGCCTTCTTGGACACCTGGTCCCAGGCTTGCTCTTGTTCATCTGATCTTTTACCACACTCGCTGGGGCCTTGTGAGGAACACAGCTCTCCAGCCACGGATTTGGCCCTTTGACTTTAAATACAGCATCAGCCATTTTTAGATGGCCTTCATGTTCTGAGCAACACCAGAAAGCAGTCAAGGACTTGCAGCTTTCCAGGCCCTAAGGCAATTGCCAAAGCAGAAGACTTCATCACTAAATGCCTCAACTGAAACTTGCCCCTTCTGCTTTCTTGCCTCATCCTGATGCTTCATAACTACTCACTTTCTTTCTTCGGATACACAGGATAACAGTGGCCCCCCACAGTTTCATGGACAACACAACCATTTCCTTGAAGCTTATCAAAAACCAAAAGACATCTGGTCCAAAAGACTTGGCAAAACTGAAGAATTACACAAGAATTATTGCAGCGCAGCCTCACAAGCCAAACACACCATTCTAAAAGGGGAAAACAAAGAAACAAAGGTCCGTGACCTCCAGCACTACCACGTGTGCCCTCGGCCATAGCACTGCTGAAGCCCAGAGAAAGAGCTTCCCTGAGCCAAGGAGCCAGATGCTCTCGCAGAGGCACCAGCCCATTGGGGCCTTAACATCACAGGTCAAAGGGCAAGTTCTGCTCACACTGCCTGCAGGAAATCCCTAGCTCCTGGCCACACTCCAGCACTCAGCATCCTCAGCCAGCAACAGATAGCACTGGCTGCTCCAAAACTTGCACCTCTGCCCTGCTCTAAAGACAGCACCACCCAACAGCTGGAACTTACAGCCTCAGGATATCCAGGGTGTAGTTTGGCCAAAGATGGAGTCTGCCGTTCTTCCATCTCAATTTGCTCCTCTTGGGCTTCTTCTCCAGGAGCAGAGGGAGCCAGGGGAGAGGTGGCCGTTGGTTTTGTCAGCTGTGGCAAGAGAGATGCATGAGGCACAGGCCATGACCTATCATTCAGGACCTCATTTCTTTTCAGATCTACCACCACATCTTCTAAGGAGAAATCAGAACACTTCATAGTGTGATAGGGATTCTTACACCCACTGACCAAATTTAAATGGGCAAATTCAACAGAAGTCCAGATGGATATAGGGTTGATATTCCTCCCTGACTGCATTCAGCAAGCAATGATTCATCCGTAAAACAGAGGTTTTAGTTCTTAATAGCTCTAAATGGGAAAAGTATGAAGGACACACCAGCTCCTTTTACTTCTGCTGATGCAGATATGGAAAACTCTAACTCGAGAGCATTCGCATCCAGTGCTCAAAAGGGCCGGAAATGTTGTGCGGAAGCATCTTGGCTTGCTGAAAAAGGACAAAATGAACAGGGCATACCTCTTCTAGAAAACCAACAAGCCAACACGGCACAAGATGGAAGAGCCACCCACTCCAGTGTGTAAACCCTTGGTTGCAGTGCGAGCAGGTTTAGTAGGGAAACACCCCTTGTGCTGTGCACTGTGTTGTAGCGATTGATGTAAGTCTGCCTGAAGGTCCCTCAGGACCCTCTCATTATCCAGACTAAAGCTCCCTCAGCACCTCCTCCCTGGGCTTGTGCTCCATTCCCTTGCCCAGCTCCTGTGTCCTTCTGTGAAAACACTGCAGCCCGTACCTGACTTTCTGCTTCCCAGGGACCCACAAGTGCACACTGCAGTTCAGCTGTGGTTGCAGCGCTGCCCAGCACAGGGCCACACTCACTGCCCTACTCCTGTTGCCCCACTGCTGTTGACACAGCCCACCATGTCCTTGGCCTCCTTGGACACCTGGTCCAGGGCTGGCTCTTGTTCAGCTGATCTTCTACCACACCCCTGGGGCCTTTTAACTCATGCAGTTCCCTAGGCGCAGATTTTCCCATTTGACTTTTAATAAGACATCAACCATTAGTAGATGGCCTTCCTCGTCTGAGCAACAAGACAAAACAGACAAGGATTTGCAGCTTCATCCCCTCTGCAGCTTACAAGGCACTTGCCAAAGCTGCAGACTTCATCCCTAAATGCAACAACCAAAACTTGCCCCTTCTGAATTTTTTTCCTCACCAGGCGGCTCCATTCCGGCTCACTTTCTTCCTTGGTCAACTCGGGGTAATAATGGCTCCCCAACAGCCTCATGGGCAAAAGACACACTCATTGCACCCTATCGAAAGCTGAAAAACACCTGGTCCAAAAAGACTCTGCAGAACTGAAGAAGAACTCCAGTAAACTCCAGACCACTTTCACACGCTATTGCCCATAGTGCAGCACAAGGCAAGAGACAGAGTTTCCATTAGCCAAGCAGCCAGATGCTCTCCCAGAGGTACCAGCACTTTAGAGCCCCAACATCCACAGGTCAAAGGCCAAGTTCTGCTGTCACTCCCTGCAGGAAATCCCTTGCA